CAGGGTTTCACCACCCTCAGCATAAAAAAAAATTCTTCCTTACAACATCTAGTCTGAATCTCCTCTCTTTTAGTTTAAAACTAATAGTTTTGTCCCCTTTTTTGCCCTGCTAAAAAGTCTGTCCCCATCTTTCTTATAAGCCCCCTTTTTAGGTATTTAAAGGCTGCTGGAAGGTCTCCCCGGAGCCTTCTCTTCTCCAGGCTGAACAGCCCCTCAACTCTCAGCCTGTCCTCACAGCAGAGCTGCTCCATTGTGCAGTATTGCATCTGAGGTGTTCCTTTATTTCCCCATTTCTATTGTTTTTCTTCAAGAAACAGAACTTCAGCAACTAGTGTTAATTTTTTAACTGACTTTAAATAAACCAACCTTGATTTCTACTTTAAAAAAAAAAGTTATTGTGGCATAATACTGGAATCTCATTTGACACATGCAGCAGCTGCTGGACTCTTGCTTTGCAAGAATACTGTTTGATATGATCCACTTAAACTGTAGCAGAATAAGCAAGCTCTTACCATTCAAAATATACTGCACACACAGGTAAACAAGAGCCAAACATATCCACCACCTTCATGGGTAAATCCAAACCACTAGATGATTTATGGAGACACACCCCCAGGTCTGCTGAGCCTGAAAAGCAAATAAAACAGGCTGAATTCTCTGAAAGCAGCTCTGCTAGTCTTACTGTAAACCTTTTTATTTTTGTGCTTCTTTGGGTGATGCAAGTGAAACATGAGCTACCTTAAACGTCATCCAGACTGAATAAATCATAAGTACTCAGGGGGGAAAAAAAGTGCAATCTATTTGGTGACTAAAATTTAGAAACATACCAGGCCAGTGCATATTAAATTAAAGGGAATTTTAAAATTTCACATATCTCCAAGCAGCTTTTCTGCCTCTTAATCTGCTAAAGATGTGTAAGTGTGTGCACAGGGAAACGCCATCACAATCGAGACAGCACGCGCCGCGTGGCTCGCTAGTGACCTCTTCCAGTTCAAGTGATTTCAAAATAGAGAAATTACAGTGTGATTTTACAGACATTATCTGCATCAGTTAAAAATTACACAGTGTTTTACAGCCATATAAATTGGCAGGCTCTAACCCTTCAGAATGTAGATCAAGTTGAAAATGTGTTTTACTACTTTATTAAGCTTATATGCTTAATACACGTTAAGCACTTAATACAGATAAAGTGCTTAAGCACTTCATGCTAATATAATGAACATGCTGAGGGAATGCTCTTCCAAGGACACATTAACTGAGAATTTCAGCTAATTTTGATTGCTCAACCAAAAATTTTATTTTTCATTTAATGAAGTGGACCCTAAAAGTAAACTGGAACATGCAGAGGCAAGCTGTGTTTCAGCACAGAAAAAATGAGACGTACAAGGAACAGGCTACGCAGGTGCTTTGCCTACTTCTCGGGATAATAGTGAAAAAACAGTAGTTAGAGAACCCTGCAGAAGATGGTGAACAACACCTTTTTGGTACAAAAACAAAAAGGGGAAACTGTTGGTGCTTTAAGAGCCCAAGCTGCAAGTGGCTTCGGCCTTGGGCAATGAAGCCCTGATTTTGAGTGAGAAAATACAAGAGAACGTGATTCGTGAGGAATCTGAAGGCATGTGCTGTATGAATCTATCAGACCACTCAGAATCAATTCATATGGCCATTAAAAGGTTAAAGGAAAACGACAAACAGTTGAAGGTAAATAGTGATGACTGGTTAAGCGAGTGGTTTTACAAGGATGGATCTCTTCACTATTAAAGTCAGGATTTAAGATGCTATTCATAATTTTGGTAATCCTTTTATTAGTGCCTTGTTTGCTATTGTGTCTGCAAAGGGCCCTGCAGAAGATGGTGAACAACACCTTTTTGGTACAAAAACAAAAAGGGGGAATTGTTGGTGCTTTAAGAGCCCAAGCTGCAAGCGGCTTCGGCCTTGAGCAATTAAGCCCTGATTTTGAGTGAGAAAACACAAGAGAACGTGATTTGTGAGAAAGTATGCAAGAAAAACAAGGTAAGAAAACTTCTTATTTTAACTATCCAGAAGTAAAAAGAATGCCTCATGAACATGCCTCAAGTATTGTAACCAGGCCTGTGAACAGCAGCTTTCAGCCAATGAAGAGTTGTTTATGTGTGTGTGTGTGTGTGTTAGCAGCTTAAGAGTACATCAGTGATCATGTAACCAATAATAAAGGTCTCCAGTAGAATTCACATTGAATCGTGTGTGGAGTCCATGAATATCCCTCTCAGCACTGGCATAAGTCAAAACCATGGATAGTGTGTGTGTATATCATCACTAACCAGCAATTTCATTCGCTTACTATATTCCGTGCAAAATCTGTATCAGCTCTCTCCACCTTTGCCAAGTTGTTTTTTACACATTCTCAAGCCGGCTTCACGATTCACTATTTACCAAGCAAAAGAGGGTAATCCTCAGCTTCGAGCCACGGGGTACAGATCTGGATATGTTTCAAGTGCAGTTTATTTATCAGTCCGTTGTAGTAGTCTTTTAGAGGTCCTTTACCTGTTTAAAACAGAAAAAAAACCCAACTATATATATAAAATAGGTTTTATAATCAAGATGACTGAAAATCCTGTGGCCCGTGCATCTTACTGCACAGGTGACAAAGTCCCGTTGTATCAGGTACATCAAAAGACACCACTCGCAATCCCCAAAAAGACACATAAAAGATTAAGCTCCCTTGAAAGCAACGTGAATCCAGACCTGTTTACTCAGCATTTAGAGGAGCCTGCCATCATCATCCTCCAGTCTTGACCCACAATTTCTCTACAGCCATCAGATAACCAAATAACTAATGACAAACTTCATCAGCACAACTGGCCCTTCAAAATTGCCCCAAATTTTAGTTTGCTCTTAATGAGAAAGTTAACCAAACAAAATTCATTCTGTCTACACAACTTTTTGGCAAAACTTTGTTTGATGAGATCCTCTCTTCCTGCCCAGGGAGGGTGTGGAGTCTCCTTCTCTGGAGACATTCAAGACCCACCTGGACACCTTCCTGTGTGATCTCATTTAGGTTCCTGCTCTGGCAGGGGGATTGGACTGGATGATCTTTCCAGGTCCCTTCCAATCCCTGACACCCTGTGATTCTGTGTAAAAACCCTTCTGCTTAACACCCAGATTTTAAGTTTCTTTTGCTGCAGTATCTCCATGTTGAGCTTCAATTCTTTTGAACACGGAGCAATGCACAGCTGTACCAGAGAGGCAGGCTGAGAGCTTCTCCTCTTTAAAGATGTGGCTGTGTCCAACTATAAATCACTGCTCCTATAACCAGACATAAAGACAGCAGTCTCTCCTCTCTCTTCACCATCAGCACAAGAGTCACCGTAGAACAAAAGTGCAGATGAAGTCTTTTCTATCAGCACTGAAGGAATTGTAACGTGAATAAACTCTTACCTGTTATCACACACACTAAAGATGGAAGCTTGGCTCCTTCATTGATATAATCCTCGTAATCTGGAGAAGATAAAAAACTATTTAGTTGCCAAGTATACGGATGTCTGGTTTAAAAATGGTCACAGTTATTAATCATTTAGCTTCCTACTTCAAGTAATTTACTTACAAGCATATATAAAACCACAGGATGTTGGGGATTGGAAGGGACCTCGAAAGATCATCCAGTCCAACCCCCCTGCCAGAGCAGGAACCTAAATGAGATCACACAGGAAGGTGTCCAGGTGGGTCTTGAATGTCTCCAGAGAAGGAGACTCCACACCCTCCCTGGGCAGCCTGTCCCAGGGCTCTGGCACCCTCACTGGAAAGAAGTTTCTTCTCAAGTTGAAGCAGAACCTCCTGTGTTCCAGCTCACACCCATTGCCCCTTGTCCTACCATTGGGCATCACTGAGAAGAGCCTGGCTCCATCCTCCTGACATTCGCCCTTTACATATTTATAAACATTAATGAGGTCACCCCTCAGTCTCCTCTTCTCCAAGCTGAAGAGCCCCAGCTCCCTCAGCCTTTCCTCAGCAGGGAGATGCTCCACTCCCTTCATCATCTTGGTGGCTCTGTGCTTGCCTCTCTCCAGCAGTTCCCTGTCCTTCCTGAACTGGGGGGCCCAGAACTGGACACAATATTCCAGATGCGGCCTCACCAGGGCAGAGTAGAGGGGGAGGAGAACCTCTCTTGCTCAACCTACTCACCACACCCCTTCTAATGCCCCCCAGGATGCCATTGGCCTTCCTGGCCACGAGGGCACAGTGCTGGCTCATGGTCATCCTGCTGCCCACCAGGACCCCCAGATCCCTTTCCCCTACACTGCTCTCTAGTAGATCATTCCCCAACTATACCTAGTGAAATAGTAAATTTAGCAATGTCAAAATTTACAGACTTTTGTAGAAAGAAGTTTAAAATGCACTTGGTGTGGTCAAACGATGCCTTTGTTTGATCACACCATCTCAGCTGTTTCAATTCATCAATTTAGAAACTGCAGCTGCAAAGTCTACAAAATAAGACAACGCCTATTCCCTTCTTTCCTGTTATCAAACACCTACAGAGAGTATAAGTAATAGCTTAGAAAATACAGTTTCAACTTACAACCTGGTTAGAAATAGAATTTTCCCTGACAACTACTCTAATTGAATCCAGATGTTAAACATCTGTATTGCAACTGCTATACTCTTAAACCACTGCTAATTAAAGAAATACACCTGCACTTTCACTGGGATAGGGAAGTACTGTGCTCTAGCAAAACCCTTCAGACCTGTCCAGAAAACAAGCGCTCCCCTTTGAAGAGCCGAGGTGAATTCCTTCACACCTACCTTCTAAAGCTTTCAAAAGGACTGAAAAGTCTTCATCCTCTGAAAGAGAAAACTGTATTAGTGACATTTGTATTTCTACCATTTATAATGAATTATTGTCTTTAAATAGCACCAATCAAAACGTTTAGAATGGATTACTGTCTTTAAATAACAACTATTAAAAATCTGCTGTAACTAGTTTCAGAAATAAAAGTCTATAACCACAGACAGTGCTTATTTGCTCCCCTTATTGGCAGCAGGGCAAACAAGCCACAAATACTGCAGAACCTCAAAGGTATCAAGTAAAAAAAAGTCTAGTTTTTAAAGCTACAGAATTAAGTGTAGACATTGCCCTGTAAGTTCACAGGTATAGACAATTCTGCCCATGGTTACTAGCAATGGATTTGTTTTCACTCTCTGTTCCCTTTTTTCATACAGAGAAAAAAAAAAAGTGAGAAAATTATGTAACACACATTATCAGAAATAAAGGAGTAAATATTTTAGTTTCTTAATCTATTTTACACCACCATGCAAGACAGCATGCATAGAAAGAAAGTTAAAAAAAAAAAGGAGTAGGAAACCTCTTTTAAAAATTCTTGAAGCTGAGCCACTAGACTGCAGCTCTGTAACTAAAATATGACTTTAAAAATCCTTTTTAAATATGACTTTAAAAATCCTTCCTTTTTAACCACCGAGATGTACCATATGCAACCTGTCTTTAAATTCTTCCAGCCAAATAAAGGAAAAAAGTCACTTGGCCAACAGTGATGTAAATACACCTCTAAAGCATGGCAAGTGTCAGGCATGAGGTAGCACAGAGAGCCCTGGTTTTATCTTTTGTTAATCAGGGGTTAAAGATTAAAAATAAAACTATCTGTTTGCAAACCTGTCCAGCTGGTGCTGCTGATGAGAAGAGCTGGCCGTCCTCTGCTTTTTATCACATGTCCCTTTTTTTCATCCATTTCTGTAAAGGCTGACCTCTCAGCGTTCCAACTGACAGACTCTGTACTATGGAAACAGAATTTTCTGAGCATGGACTACACAACCATGATCTCACAGAAGGACACACTGTGCTTAACCAGCATGAATTTCCAAATGCTTTGGTTCAGATCTGCTGCTCTAGAAACAGTCATTATGGTGGGGGTTTGGTAGACCAGGGAGACCCAGTAGGTGAGGGTCTCCACAGGCAGAGAGGAGCAGCCTCACAGTCACAAGCCCTGGTCCTCATGGGGGACTTCGACCACCCCGATATCTGTTGGAGGGACAACACAGCAGGGCACAAACAATCCAGGGGGTTCCTGGAATACATGGAGGATAATTTCCTTCTCCAAGTGGTCGAGGAACCAATGAGGAGGGGTGCCATGCTGGACCTTGTTCTCACCAACAAGGATGGGCTGGTGAGGAATGTGAAGCTCTCAGGCAGCCCTGGCTGCAGTGACCATGAAATGGTAGAATTTGAGATCCTCAGGGCAGTGAAGAAGGTGCATTGTAAGCTCACCACCCCGGATTTCAGGAGAGCAGATTTTGAACTCTTCAGGGATCTGCTTGGTCAGGTACCAATAGGGTGAAAGGAAGGGATGTTCTTAACTCACCATCTAATCACTGTCAGCCAGTTCAACAGGAACTAGACAACTGCTGAGTTCCACCCTAGAGATATTCTATTACAGACAGAACTTTTGCCAATTTCTTTAAAAATAAAACACTTTTATTATTTCACACACCCAAGCACTGTGTTACCACAGTTCAATGATTTCACTTCTCTGGCCTCTCCTAGTGACAATTAAACTCATTTGCACAGCTGCTGGCAAAGAGGATGCAGAGAGTGCTCTGCCTGCTGGTGTTCAGGAACTTGTGATCCCACACAGAAGTATTTCTGGTAAGGGAGTGCAATAACTTTCCATCATTCGGTTAAGGACAGTAACTGCATGTTTTACTTACACCTACCGTGGTTTAAAAGGCTCATAGTCTTTGGCAAGTTTCATGTACAACTGATGTTGAAGTTCTAATGGCGTTTCCTTAAAATAAGAAGCTGGTTTGTCATACAGTGTTACTGCCCTGGAATGAGATAAAATCACAAGTTAAATAGGAAACAGGTGTAACAAAATGTGTATGGTACAGTGACAGGCTACAGCAGTGTAATGCAGAAAGTAATTAAAGAATCACAGAATTGCCTCAATTGAAAAAGCCCTTTAAGCTCATCGAGTCCAACCATGAACCCAACACTGACCAGTCCCCTATGACTAACCCATGTCCCTCAGCACTGTGTCTACACGACTCTTCAATCCCTCCAGGGATGGGGACTCCACCACTGCCCTGGGCAACCCCTTCCAATGCCTCAGAACCCTTTCAGCAAAGAAATTCTTCCTCACATCCCATCTCAACTGCCCTGGCCACAACTGGAGCCCATTTCCTCTTGTCCTGTCCCTTGGGCCTTGGTTGAACAGACCCACCCCCACCTCTCTCCACCCTCCTCCAAGGGACTTGGACAGAGCCAGAAGGTCTCCCCTCAGCCTCCTTTCCTCCAGGCTCCACGCCCCCAGTTCCCTCAGCTGTGAGCTCAGCACACTTGTGCTCCAGACCCTTCCCCAGCATGTAATCAATACAGCAAAATAATCACTTTTTTGACTCTCACAACTTCCCATATTCCTAAGTTTGCTGAGCACACCAAGGTGGACACATTAATCCTGTAACAAGGACCCTTTTTTTGTGTGCATATTTAAGGGGCTCTCATGCGACCATAAAACCCGCAGACATCACTGTCCTGATTTTTAAACTTACATCCTAGTGTTCCTGAGCAATTCTGATCTCAAAACCCACTGACTGCAAAAGAAAAATCTGCAGGGCAGACTAACCGCTAAAACACTCAGCGATGTCTGCCTCATTCCAGTTCTACAGGCAGCTTGGTAGAGAACTTCCATAACACCAGGGCTGTCACCTTCCAGCCAATGGGGCGTTAATTATGAAGGGTAATGAACATGACACCATCCCACATGACATCCTTGTCTCT